TTTTTTGATTTTGCTGAGCAAAAAATAGAATTTTTCTAAGATTGGGGGGGTGTTCCACCCCCGACACCCCCCCGGTCGGGCCACCCCTGGCTCGAATACCATCTAGTTATTTATCGTATTCGTATCTTCTTATCAAAACGATTGTATCGATAATAACTATCAATTGAAACTCAAATATTGAACTTAATCGTATTATTTTGAATTGTTATTATCATGTCAACAACAAATAGCAATCAAAACGATAATAACTAAGATGATTACAGTAAATATTATTCTATAAATCAAGTAATGAATTAAAATCATATGTTTTGCTAGGTGGTGACGATCTTGAAAAAGTACTCAATACTACATCAACTCCAGAACAACGATTACGGTTTAAGATCGAAGATCGAGATGTTTTTGTAAGTTTAAATATATTTAGAAATTTTCCCTAAAATTATTTATTCGTCCTAGAATCCATTTGAAGGTGAGAGTGTGGGTGTTGGCGGATGTGACCATACTTGAAATCAACACTCACACTCACACTCACAGCCACACCCTTACCGAACATGTTGTACACACCGAGGTCAATGGATACGATTATCCGTATTTTCACCGTATCGTTCAACCTGGATATACGAAAAAAGACAATAAAAACATTTTATATATAACCTACGTTTAAAAAATCATTTTCGAATGATGCAGACGAGAAATATTTCAGAGCAAGCATTGTTCGCATCATTCGTGATCAATTAAAATACAAGCTTTATGTTTTAATAAATGATTAAATATTTATCTGAAGAATAAATTTAAATATGTGTTTTATTGTTGGTTAAACAATTTCTTATCTTACCGACTTTGTCGGAACAATATATGCAAATGAAATATATAATGAAGAATATGATATATTATTTCTTGTGGTTTTATATTGATAGAATACGTTTCATCTAGATTAAGATGCAAAAAATTTCTTACTAACTAAACTTCTATCATTTGTTCATCATATATAAGTGATGAATAATAATATCATATTTAAGTGGTGATGATGCACAAATTTCATGTGATGAACGAGAATAAATAACGCTGTTTATTTCCTGTTTATTTGACGTAAACAAATTGTTGTATCAAAATTTTCAGTAATTCTATTATGAATTTCCATATTAAAGCTAAATAAACCAATGAAAACAATAATTAAACAGAGGTTGCAAAGATATACTAGAAGATACATTCATAATTAATCTATTCACTGAGTTTTTACAAATTACTTGGATAGAGCGTCGAGACTTGCGTCGGTGAATATGATCAGTCTTTTTCACCTCGGTTCGAATTCTCTTAATTCACTAATCCAATCCATTATAGTAATCATCATATTTCTGATATTCACAGTTACATAAACTGTATTCAGAGTTCGGCTAAGGTATGAATAAAGTCTTTGAAGTACAATCTTTACTATTCCGCATCTTTTATGAATAATCTCCAGGCAACAATATTCAATTAATCACGATCCTTGCCTATACGTTAAAATTGTTAGGAAATGAACAAGAATCTATAATTCATTTCAGATCTTCGAACTTTCATCAGTTCTACTCAACATTTTCTGCGAATAGATGATAAACACTATTATCATATTTTCAAAATAAAAAAAAATACTTAAGGCATATCAAAATTAGTGATGCCGACAACATTATAATCTCTTACAGAAGACTTCAGGAAATTTTCTTTCTATACATACTGATAGTCCGAATCATGTTCTATAATTCTAAAGATATTCTTTGAAAAATGAGTTTTTATTGTTGTACTGAATCAAGACAGATTAGAATCGAACCAAAGAAATAAGTTAATATAAGAGCTTTCTAAAAATAAATCGTTGCTTGAAAAGTGAGTATAAAGAAAAATTAAGCCCAAGACATAGAGATATGAACTAACAATATTAAAAAAAAAGGCATTCACATAAACATTCTAGCTCATTTCAACTTTATGCATTACTTTTTTTTTTACGCAGCAAGAGTGTATGATGTTAAACGAGAGTAGCACATAAATATGGTTTGTCATGTTCCTTTGCTTGACTCTTCTCATATGTGGAATAACATTAATTTGACAGAACGAAAAATATGACCGAAAAAAAAAGTGTCCAAGAAAAAAGAATAATTTATTTCTTCAGGGTATATGTTTGGAATTTAGTGGAGATGAAAAGGAAGCAAAATTCATATCAATACTCACAGTCCACAAAAATGCTCAACACCGTGAGTTCTATCACTCTATATAAGAGTAAAAAGTTTGTTTTAGAAAGCCTTATGGGTCGATCTTCCACTAAATAGGCCCCAGTTCTTTAAATAATTCATTAATACAATACGAATGACTGCGAAGAACGTTGTAGGTTTCATCAATATTGATGGATTGCTCTGTTGAGTTATAACACGCAAAAAGTCCGTAGATAATGGTCCAGATTTCGATGCACATTGAATAAACCAATAGCTATACCATTGCATAAATCGCATCATTAAAGTTGCTCGTGGCTGAGGATGATTTGTCATAGTCGAATCACTACTTCGTTGATAAACTTTAACATCACCATTTTTATTTGTTTCGATCACTTTTAATGACGGTGATTTCCAATCATTTGCAGTCGAAGCAAGCCAACATTCTTCAGTAATTACTGAAGCACGACGATTAAAAATATGAGAAATATCTTTTAATTTATGGCAACTCTCGCCAAATAATTTCTCCAATTCTCTTGCTTGTCTAAATGCATGTGTCATACCTTGTGCATATTGAGGATTAAATGTACACATTGCATCACCTAATAATATATAATTTTGAGGCCATTTTTTACCTAATAATTCGACATACTTTCGATCATCGGTCGCACGACGATATGGAATTAATGGACTGTATACTTTTGTTTTTTGTCAGTATCGTATAATATTCTGAATCTAGATTTTCTTTTGTCCATTCTAATAAATTTTCATATGAATCATTTGGTGGATATTCGAAGTTAACGCAATCTATACCAAATGTTGCTAGTATTCCTAATGAATTGTTATCGATTGTTTTTATTATACGTATTGGAGTTGTAATAAATCCAGTATTTTTATTAGGGGAGTCAACTCCAGCACCAATAATCGCTGCTGAATCGAGCGATGGATCATCAGTTCTAAATCTTTCACCAATAAATGTAACATAGCCACAACCAAAATGTACTTGTACAGTTGGTATAATTAAATTGAAATTCTTCTTTAACCATTTAGGTGATGATGTATTTCGACCAGTACAATCAATAATAAAATCACCATACATATCAAATGATAATGAATTATTATTTTTCTTCGATCGATATTTTATACCTTTAACAATATTTAATGATTGATCAACAATTAAATCTGTTACTCTTGTATTATATTTCCATTCAATTTGTTTATCAAATTTCAAACATAATTCTTTTCTCAAAACTATTTCTAATGTAAAACGATCAATACCCAACCAATCAAAATCTTCAGTTAAATCTTGATTTAACAATACACCGCTATTCATGAGTCTACATTCGGTTTTCAATGAATAAGTACGAATATCATATTCATTGAATAATTTATCTTTTAATTGCGGAAATAATTCGAGTAATATTTTATATCCTTCACTATGAAGTCCATGTATTTGATATATTTGACTAACACCTGAACGTCCTAGTGATGTTGGACTTTCAAGACGGCAACGATAATCTAATATTTCACTAGATGTAGATTTCATGAATATATCATTTAGTACATCATCCGATTCGATAATTGTTATTCGTTTAAAATATTTACACAAGTAAGCTGCAGTTACAATTCCTCCAATACTGCCACCAAGAACTATGGCATGATCGTACTGAGAAATATTTGAAGAAAACTTCATTGATTTATTGTATTTCTTGTAGATTATATACGAAACAATTCCAATAATAATGCATGTCACAATAAATAACATTTTGTAATTATTCCTATGAGATATTAATATATTCAAATATTTTCTTGTATGAAAAATATACTTCAGACTGTAAGGATGATAGAGTGACAATCAATTTTATTTTTCATAATAGATCAAAAAATCGCTCACTTGCCAAAATTATGCATGATTGCAAAATCTGAAATCTATTATGTTTTCTAATATATTCAACATTTTCTTGAAATATTTCTTACAGAAAGTTTATTCGAAAAAATGTTCAAAATATTCTCATGAAAAGATTACATTCGCAGTTAACTACAAAATAAATTCTCTTTTTTTTATCTGTACGATGCTCAAAAATATTATTATAGAAGCAGACAAATAAGTAAGTTAATGTACTGTTTGATCTCCGAACTTCTCGAATGTGAGCTACTTTCATCAGGTCATTCTTTGTCAAGATAAGTTTTTCAAATGCTTCATGCGCAAGAATATCTTTGCATAGTGAAGCATTCTGTGTAAACATCGTCAACTCTTTGTTTCTTTAACAGTTCAGAAGAGAAACGAACATTTCATTACTGCTTTGCAACTCGTCTAGTTTTTATATGATGTAAAACAAAGTGGTTTTTTTTTCATAATTCATCAAAAAAATGTGGTTATACACAAATAGAATGACTGAAAGATTGTCAGAATTTAGAATAATCTACTCTCGATAAATACATTGGTGTTACATCGAAATGTTATTTAGTTTTTTTCATTGTTATTCACCTTAAAACTTTAGTGATCGTGGTATACTATATTTATCACAACAACAAGGTAAATGTAATGATAAAGGCAAAAGGGATCAAGAAGAAAAGAAAATTTAATGCAACAAGGTAGACAAATAAGTCTACTCAATGTCTCCACCAATTGCTCGGTGCTCGGTGGTATGTAATCAAGTCTTCAACCTCCGTATAATACGAAAGCTAAATGGTTTAATAGTGGATTGTGTCTATTCTCACAAAAAACGAGAGTTCACTATAAGAAAACTGCCTACCCGAATTTCGTAGTATGATATCGAAATAATGTTCACTGGTTGTAGCAGAGAAAGGTATTTTATTAGATAAACAAATAAAACATATAACAAGATGATGATAATGACAATAGGAAAATAATAGTAATAACGATGGAAAAAAAAAGATTATGCAAAAGAAGAAGTAATGAGAAAAAACAACTGAATAAAACAACAATAGAATACGACTGGAGAGGCACAGAGATCAAAGAAGATCATCAAAGAGAAAGAGAAAGACCAATGACAAAAATATACATACAGTGAGCGTCATAGAGTGTCACCTGTTGATGCTAACATTCATAGAACGAAAAATGCTATTCGAAGATACGAAAACGAGTACTAGTACACAATAATTCTAATGGCAAGTGTACATACATCTACAGCTGTGGAGATACACGTTGCTGTATACTGAGCAGGAAAAATTTTTAAACTATTTTTACGTAGGTGACGTTAGCAACCGATTCGAGTAATTCTTGCACCGATTCGCTCAGCTAGCGTTTCGAGTATATTTCAACATGCTCTATCGATTGATGAAAACCTTTCTCGATATTTCGAACCATGATTGAGAAAAAAGAAAAATACGACTTTGCTCTCTATTTTCTTTTTCAGATTTATATCAATACGTCCTCGATACTGATGTAATGACTGCAGAATACAATTGAAAATTACAACAAATTCAATTTAATTTCGTTTGCATTATGCTGATGTGCATAATGATGAAGATGAAAATGATAGTTTTGATTGATTTGTGATTATTTTGGAATTTGAAAAATAGTCAATCATAGCTTCTCATATTCATATGGTATTCTGATGTTGTATTTTTCTCTATAGTCAATCTTTCTAAATGAATCGAATACGAATTGCTTCTTTCTTATTCTCTAGTTTTTTATTTAATATTACATGAAAACATAACTTTGTACACTATGACACATTTTGTCCATATAAAACAGAGTGTACTGTACATTTTATTTTAGATTTTCATTACAAAACACTCCTTCTACCCGATATGCACACTCTCACCCTCACTATATGTTGTGTATAATTGAATTACATGTGCGTGAGTGTGAATGTGGGTGTTCACTTCTCTAATAATTTACGTTCTTTTTTATCTAATAAAATAAATACCAAATCTTCTTTTGAAAAAAAGAGTTCCAATAATTTCTCATCTACAATCCTACTAAACAGTTTCCTTCCCCATTGATCTCTTGTCATTAAATCCAGACATTCTCGAGCATAATTTCATATATTCAAGAATTGTTCAAATCCAACATCACGATATATATATGTAAGAACATCTAATCAACTGTTTTCAATTAAATTTTTTAATATTTGTCGAAATGTATACGCAAAAGTGTCATCCTATGCTTCATTCGCTTTTATAAAATATTCATAAACGACTATTTTTAATATTTCTCATTGACTTACTTGAAAAAATACATCAGTATTTGTTTTAGAAATAATTTCTAAAACGTTAAACATAATCTCGATTATTGATTAGAGGAGTATTTGAAATAATTGTATAAGTGAACTAATGTGATATTGAACATTTAGATTGATTGTTATTAATATGAGAAAGAAGTAATTTATTTACAACTTTTAGTCAGATTAAATCGACATAATTCATAGTTATCGTATGAACAATAAGCATCTTTTCTTAAAATAAGTGATTTAATAAGTTTAATAGATTCTATATGGATATAGTTGAATATATTTTTGTAACATTCAATTTGGTTTTTCTTCATCAACTGTTGTATTTATAGATAATAATTGTTTGGATAATTGTTAAAATACTTCAGAATTGTAATAATCATCGCATACATAAATATGTAAAAAAAATCAATTAATAAATGTAAACGTTTATCAATAAGAATCATATTTAAACGTTCATTAAAACTAAGAAATGTTTTTAATATTGTTATAACATTACCACAATATTTTTAAATACTCGTTATAATTTCATCAGATAAAGTCTCAAAAGTTGATGATATGTTTCACGTGTTTTTTTTTTCTAATAGTAATTATATATTCAACTACATATAATCATTCTTCTTTTCATATTTAAAATTACATGTAATTGCGAAATCTATCAATGCGGAGTCACATTTTTATTGCATTCTGCACATGCTTCTAAAACTATAATTTTAAAAAAAGGTTACCTACAAAATTTGATGATACTTCTTAATAAGAATTGAACTAATTCTTTATATTTTTGTCTGTGACTGAGCTCATGTCTATACAATTTTTCTTCATTCAAAAGATAGACTGATTTGCTCGAATGTTGATGTTTCTAGAATTCTTGAAACTCACAAGATTATTAAGTAGGTTTCATTTCTCTTTAGTACAAGAGTTACTTCCCAGAATGTTCAACTGTAGATGAAGCTTCTCAACAAGTTTGAATTCGTTTTTATTGAATTATCACAGTCAAATAAACTGAAATTTTCTATCGAATACAATCTGTGTCAGATTTTCAAAAGAAACTTTGTGAAGAGAATTTTCCAGAAAACCGTGGCAGGGGGGATTTCGATAGGAAGATTTTTCAATAGAAGTATCGAAAAGAGCAGAAAATTCTGAACAAAATGAGAGATCCCCCAGCTCTGTACGATATTCCATCACAAAGTTATAAACATAAGAAAAAAACGCTTTTTTCATCGATTTTTATCAAAAAAAGCCCTAAAACTCGATTAAAACCCCGTTTTTTCGTTTTTTCTGATGCTTATAACTTTGCGATGGAATATCATACAAAGCTGGGGAACCCTTCATTTTGTTCAGAATTTTCTTTTCTTTCAACCGTTTATATTGAAAAATCTTTCTGTCAAAATCCTCTAGGACCCAGGTTCATCATTTCGGCCACCGGATATTGCAGGAACCGGCCGGTACTTTTCGACCTGGGGACTTGAAATCCCCCTGACACTGTTTTCTGGAAAATTCTCTTCACAAAGTTTCTTTTGAAAATTTGACACATATTGTATTCGATAGAAAATTTCAAGAGCTATCCAAATCGCTATTTAGATTTGACCTAGCTACTCATCTTCGATGAAAAACTTCAAAAATAAAAGTGTCTTAAATTTTTGCGGTCCACTTTAAATATATATATATATAGTTATGACGAAATTCACGATAACAACTATGACTTTGTTTGATCTATAGAGCACATGTTATATAGTAGAATTATAGCAAATGTTAAATCAAATACATGGTTTGATCATTTACCCACGGAAATTATATTTCTTATATTTGATTATTTATCCAATAATGAGATTATTCATACATTCTTCTTCTTCAGTCAACGATTAAATAATTTATTATTACAAAATCAATATTATTCTCGTTATTTAGAATTACCAACAACATATTTGACAATATGGAAAAATATTCTCTCAGTTATTAGTTCACAAGTCGAATATTTAAATATTACTACAATATATTTAACATTACCATTATCAATTTTTTCTAATTTAAAATCAATAATTATTTCTTCATCATACGGTTTCCAGAAGAATAATTACAATTAATTTTTGAAAGTGAACAATTTCAAAATTTAATTTCATTGAAAGTAAAAGAAAATCAAATATATTATAATGGATCATTTAAAAATTATTCAACGAATGAAAATTATATTTTACAAAAAAAAAATTTTTAATCAGAAAAATTCATTAAAAATATTTCAATATTCATCCATAATTCCATCATTTATAGAAACATATTTTTTCTTATACACCAAATTTAGAGTATTTAAATGTTAAATGTGAAGTACTTGATAGATATGAAAATTCAATAAATAAAGTTAATGTCAAATTGAAAGAATTCTATCTAACATTCGTTGAAAATATCTCAAGATGCAATAACAATAATTTTCATCATCATTAATTTGTTTATCACTTAATTTTGCTAGTTTATTTATCAAAAATGGAGATGATTTTCCATTTAATAATTTTAAATTTCAACAATTTTTAGAGTCAATAATAAAATTAAAACAATTCCATTTCTATGTCAAAATATTAATTTCTAGAACCGAATATGATAAAATTTTAACTCAATTTAAAAGTCAATATTGGTTTGATCATAATTAGTTTTTTGGAATGCATGAAAATTATTTTTATACATTACCATTTCATTTTTTGATTATCTTTATGATCCTCATAAAAGTTTTAATGATATTAAATCAACTAATCAAGAAATTTTACGAAGTAATTCTTACATATAGTATAATGTCAAAACTATTCATATACGTTATTCAAGTACTTATGATTTAAATTCTGTACGAGAAATTAAAATAAAAATGTCAAAATTAAATAAAATTGAATTGGAAAATTTTAGTAATTTTTCACAGTTTACATTAGACAAAATCAAAGTTTTAAATGATAAAGAAAAATTTCAGTTAAATAATGTGACAATTCTTCATTTAATATCTCATTGCAATTATAAGAGAGAAGTGAAATTCATGGATATATTACCAAATTTGAAACATTTGATATTATCTACTAGCAAGATACCGTCAGTACATAGTCAATTTGCTCAAATATTAAATAAAACACTTGAGCTATTAGATATAAATTCATATTCTTCTTTTAATCGAGGGATAGAAAAGAGTCATATTTGTTATTCAAATGTTTCGAGAAGGAAATGAGTCTTATAGGAAGGCATCTGTCGAATTAGATTTGGATGCACTTGTTAAATATTTGAACGATTGGAAAATGATAGATGAAATTCTTAAAAGTTATGAAGTAAAACTTTTTCGAACATATTTATTATGTTCAAAAAAAGAATTCGATACATAAATTCTTATTTATTTTTTAATTCTTACATTTAATAAAAAAAAAAATACAAAATTTTGTTTTCATTTTCTATTTCAATTTTACAGATAAGAAATCTTGCTTAAGTACAATATAAAAGTATTTTTGTATGAATGTATCATAATTTATTCATTGGTTCAATGGTTTTTCGTTCTCACTAAGTTAATACTATTTGAAATATCGTCATTAGAAAATATTCGTCATTGAAGAAAAAACACTATTAAAAGTAGATTTTCAGTATGAGGGTGAGTGTGGGTCAAGGGGGAAACATCGTATTTTTGTACTTTAAAGTACTCTTAGAGAGGATCTGCCAGAAAACTGGGTAACATGGGTGGAAAAAATTTTGATTTGAATATCTGAAAATAAAGGCCTATTAGAATTAGTACTAAATCCAAAATATCAGCTCGATCTGACAATCGCTTTGCTGAATTATGAAGTAGGCGCTAGTACATTTCGTCGCACGACACTTCGTCGCGTTCACTTCGTCGCAATCATTTCGTCGCACGGTCACTTCGTCGCATAACATTTTGTCGCGTTCTGTTCGTCGCAGAAAAATATTCTTTCGTTCTGTTCGTCGCAGAAAAAAAATTTCTTTCGTTCTGTTCGTCGCATCACTCTTAATTAATTTTCTTTTCAAAAATGTGAAATTGTTCATTTAATTCACCTTTATTTTGTGTATTATACATAACATAATGATGAACAAATTCAGAACAAAAAAAGCAAAAAAAAAGAAAGAAAAAAACAAAAGAAAAAAAAAAGTAACCTAAAGAAAACAAAATAATTTTAAGAAAAAAATTACCTAAAGATTAATGTTGGCTGCCATATTTGTTAAGAATTGATCCAGTTGAGATGAGTCGAATGCATTGACCAGCCGAGTAATTCGTTCGTCCAATCGTCGATAGCAGGCCTTCTTCATCTTAATATCATGACCTTGGAGAATCTTCGCCATGTCCACTTCGAATTTCGATTGCTCACAACGAATTTTCTCTGCCAATTTCACGATATTTGGATGATTGATTGCGACGCGGTTCGCAAATGCATTGTGCCAGCCTTCCACCGAATTGTTCGAACGAGGTACAGCAGCGAGGACACGATCATGAACATTCCATAACTTGTGATCAAATTGAGGCTTCTTTCGACCAGTTCCTAAGAAAGTCGATTATATTTCATATTTCTTAAGAATGAAGAAAAAAAATTACCTCTTCTTTTTGGTTCACCAATCCATGTTTTTTCAAAATAATCAAGTAAATCATCGGCGTCATCATCGAATCGATTGGTAATTAAGTCAAAGCCAGTTGTAATTTCATCTACTGGAACGAAAGCAAGAGCAATTAATTTTTTTACATTCAAACGAAAGTACTCATCTTCTCTATATTTTGTTACTAATCCTTTTTGTTGAACTTGTCGCCATATCGCTTGCGAAAAATGAAATAAACATCCTAGAACAAACATTTTAATTACTTTTTTTTTTTGAGAATATTAAAAAATACCTTTATGTAAAACGTTTGGCAACATTTCTCTAACGGATTTGATTGTACCAGTTTCGAAATCAGTCATAATTGATTCAGGTTGAAAATTATCTTGTACTAATACTTTTTCGAAGAATGAATTGTAATCTTGAGCACTTTTACCAATTAATAATCCATAGACGAGAGGGATAATTGCATTAGTCATCATCGCGTGTAACGTAAATAATTGATAATAATCATCAGGACACACCTACGTCAAAGAAAAATAGAAAAAAAAAAGATATAAACTTTTAATTGATAGCTTACTTTGAATGTTCCATCAGCGAACCAATGTTTATTTTGCTTCAGAATCGATAAATTTGTTTTTGTTGTAAAGATAATTAAATTTTTGTCTTCGTGCAAGATGAAGTCTTCATCGCGATATGTCTTTCTTAATTTTTCTGGTAAACAACCATCGGCATCGACTGTTTCAACAGTACGCTGTCGTCGAATCATTAGCATAAGTGCTTCATTTTTTGGAAGTTCACCAGCAGCACTCAACGGATACGTACGCAAAGCAGAATGAATAATGGAGCTGGTTGATTCATCTGTTGTTACGGCACGAGCTTTAATTTCATTTTTTAATTGAATAGCAGGCACACGATCAGGTTGAGGAGCATGACCGTGGGCTGTTGGTTGTGAGAGAAATACGTCCATAGATAAATTGGTATGACATCGAGCTTAATAGATCAATAATTTTTGTTTTAATTGACCGATAGTAAATGTTAACCTATCTTTACAATCTCGATTCTGACAACGAAAGATCAATTTCGTCGATGTTGTACGTTCCACAGTATAGATGTAACCTTCGTGATGAATCATTGGTTTTCCTTTCACAGAAAGAAGTTTTTCGATTTGAGACATTTTGATTAAAGAGTAGTTCGCAGTGAGAGTTGATATTGAAAAATGAAATATACTTTTTTTTCTGGCTTCATATTTAAGAATATTATTTTATTATTTATCTTTAGCCTGGATTATGTTGCAATTGATTAACCGAGTAACAAATCTAATTATTCATCGTTCACTTTAGACCCGTTGCAATTATATATGAGTGTTCGTTTTGATCCGCTTTCTCAATTAGAGTTATTCTTGTTGGAATTATCATTTGTCTATTTTAATTGTACATATTTCATAAAATTTTTCATTTATTTTATTTCAATTGGTTGTACAAAAAAAATTCATTAATTAAGTGAGATACAACAAGTAGAAAGGAAGAGAAAGAGAGTAATTACTCTGCGACGAACAGAACGAAAGAATTTTTTTTCTGCGACGAACAGAACGAAAGAATATTTTTCTGCGACGAACAGAACGCGACAAAATGTTATGCGACGAAGTGATCGTGCGACGAAATGATTGCGACGAAGTGAACGCGACGAAATGTCGTGCGACGAAGTGAACGGTCACCGGGGGATCCATTCATGTGAAGCTACCACGACGGATTTTGAAAAAAGCTCAACCTTTGAGGCACCCATCCATTGCCCGAAGATAAACTACACATCAACTTGTAGAGAATTTAATTCTCTATCGATTTATGTATAACTCAAACAGAGATTTCATTTCCATCCGGGTGATGTTTGATCGATTATAGGATGAGTTGTATATAAACGTACAAAAATTACTACAAAGAACTAGATTTTTGCGGAGACGATCCATTGCCCGAGGATGAGCTATACATCAACTTGTAGAGAATTTAATTCTCTATCTATTGATGCATAACTCAAATAAAGATTTCATTTCCATCCGGGTGATCATCGATCGATTATGAGATGAGTCATAGAAAAACGTAAAAAATTACTACAAAGAACTATATTTTTGCATAGATAATCCATTGCCCGAGGATACGCTATACATCAACTTGTAGAGAATTTAATTCTCTATCTATTGATGTATAACTCAAATAAAGATTTCATTTCCATCCTGGTGATCATCGATCGATTATGAGCTGACTCATAGAAAAACGTAAAAAATTCCTAAAAAACCTAGATTTTTGCCGAGACGATCCATTGCCCGAGGATAAGCTATACATGAACTTGCAGAGAATTTAATTCTCTATCGATTGATGTATAACTCAAATAGAGATTTTATTTCTATCCGGGTGATCCTCGCTCGATTATAGGATGAGTCATAAAAAAACGTACAAAAATTACTACAAAGAACTAGATTTTTGCGGAGACGATCCATTACCCGAAGGTAAGCTATACATGAACTTGC